TAGCTATTGTGCCACCAATGCCTGATCTTTCACTTGGTTAGTGATGGAGCCTCTATCTCCACTGGAGAAGCCAGGAGCGAGCATCTGGTTAACCTGGCCTCCTCCTCATTGCAGCTGGGGGGACTGATGGCAAATTCTAGCCATAAGGCACTAGACTAAAAGACAGACTCTTAAACTGCTTGACTTCTTCAACCCCTTCCGGTGCTGGCGCTTCCCAGGGGGCCCACTCCCATCTCTGCTCCCTCCTCACTACAAGTCCCTCCTTAGAGTAGGACCCAAGATAGAGCCCTCTGAGAGGACTCAGAGGGAGTGCGCCCCACCCCTTCCTTGATCCCTCACCCTCTCTCTCTCTCTCTCTCCCTCTCTTTGGTTTTGTGGTGAAAGGGCTGGGAACACTTGGGGAATGCACTTCACCCCAATGGAAGTACAATCTTTTTCTGAAATGCGGTCCCTAGATAAGCAGTTCGGTAATGGGACTAGGCACCTAGACCCTGGAGCCAGATTGCCTGGGTTCACCTCTGACCCAGCTCTGTCACTTACAGCCATACAATCTTGGGTTACTTTATTCAGTCTCTGTGTGCCTCAATTTCTTCATCTCTAAAATAGATGAATGATAATACCTATCTCAGAGCCCCATGAGGATTAACTGAGCATGTGCATTAACAGGTAAAGCTTTTAAAAGCATGCCTGGCACAGATTAGGTGTTAATACGATTTACCCCAGCCTCTGGGTACAGCTTCACCCCCTTCCCAGTCCTCTTGGTTTCTGCCACAGAATGTCAGCATCTCCATCTCTGTAGTACTGCCAGATTCCAGCCTTCTCTTAGTCCCACCAGCATCCCATCAGGAATGGGATGGAGAAGGGCAGGGCACTTGTGTACTGTCTGCTTGGTGGGTCCTTCACCGAAGAGTCTCCTCGGGACTCGGTCTGTTACCTATTTTCTGGGGGAAATAGCTGAGTCAGTCCCTTTCTGCCTCCCCCACCCCACCTCTCAGTAAGCCTCGGAGGCAGAGATGGCTGTTTAAAAATGTGTGTCCTTGGCTTTGGGGGGGGGAGTAAACAGACTGTGCCAACCCATCCCACCCGTGAGGGAGCCTGCCCAGAGGCAGGTAAGTCTGCACAGCACAAATCTATTGACGTTTTCTCTCTGACGGCGCAGCGTGCAGGCATGTGCGTACACACATCAGCTCTCTGAGGGCAGGGTTTCTTCTATTTTGCTTTTTGCCCTATCCCCATGCCTAAAACAATCCCAGGCACAGAATGAACACTGAGTAAATACATAGAAACTCAAGGAAAGGAGCCATAAGTGCCCCGCTGACAGATCTGCTTTCATAGCAGGGTATTCTTCCTAAGAGGTGATGGTCAGAGTTTATGGCTAAGTGAGAAAAAGGGAACATGCTTCAGATCTCTCTCCTTAACAGCCTTTGACTCACATTCTCTCTCACTCCTATCCACAGGGCCCTTCTTTCAAGCCTTCCTCTATCATTGCCACCCCCCCCCCCCCCACCTGCATGCACAGGTCCCTAAGTGCTTAGGGCCAAGGAAGGACAAGGGTCTGTATTTAAGACCCCTGTAACCTCCTGGGAGTTTGGGTTATCTGCCTACTTAGCAGAGCTGCTGTAGGTCCATAGTCAAACATTCCCGCGCTGCTTGGTAAAAGCCCAGCCCACAGACCAATCGGGAGACCTATCCGCATCAGTTTTTTCCTTCTCTGAGGGAGGAGGCGTTACTTTTAGAAAATGCAAAGAGATAGTAACATTGTTATTGAAGGTGATTGCTGTTGATAATGATGGCTATCATTCATGGATACACTTACAATGTCTGAGGCTGCTGAGCCAAACACAGCATTTTATTTCACTCTCACAAGTCCTTGAGATAGATTTGCAAATCCCTTTTACAGAGGAGAAAATGGAGATTTGCCAAAAGTCATGGAATTTGTAATGGAGAAGACCAGAGTTGGAACACAGGATTCTGAGGGCTGGCCTGCTCACTCTTCACTCTTTTCTATCTCTGGGTCATAAAGGAAGCAAGGAGACCCCTGCAAAATGTGACGGGGGTGGGGAGAGAAGGCATCATTCAGCGACCCACTTAGAAATGAAGCTAGAACTTTGGTATGTGAATAATGAACACTGAGTCTAAACCAGCTTGCCTAAGCTCAAAGGCACCTGGACCTCTTTCTAGCTGTGAAATTGAAGGCAAGTTACTTAACCCCTTTATACCTGTTCCTCTCTCTTTTTTTCTTTTTTAGAATTATTTTATTTATTTATTATTTTAATTTGACCAGAGTGAAAGAGAGAGATAGAGGGATATAGAGAAAGCAAGCCGCCAGGTTTGGGACTCAAACCACAGTCTGCCACATGGGAATCCAGTGCCCTCAACCACTATGCCACCTGCCGGCCCCTCTGTTTTTTTTTTTTTTTTA